ACGCGCCCAGGTCCTCCGACTGCGGGACACAGGAGGGGGTGAGGGATCGATCGATTGATTGGTTGATTGATCGGTTGGTTGGTTGGGTGATTGATTGAGCAACAGGTTGAAAAATGGAGTGGCCAATAAAGCAATGAACCAGTGAACCAATGGCTCAATCAATTAATCAATCAACAAACCAATCAACCAACGGCTCAATCAATAAACCACCAGATTAATCAATGAACCAACCAACAAACCAACTGATCAATCAACCAACCAACCAATGGCTCAATCAATCAATCAATAAACAAACCAATCAACCACACCAGTAAACCAACCAACCAATGGCTCAATCAACCAACCAATCAACCAACCAACCAACCAACCAACCAACCAACCAATGGCTCAATCAATCAATCAATCAATCAATCAATCAACTGATCATTCAACCAGCCAACCAACCAACCAATGGCTCAATCAATCAATGAACCAACTGATCAATCAACCAACCAACCAACCAACCAACCAATGGCTCAATCAATCAATCAATCAATCAATCAACCAACTGATCATTCAACCAACCAGCCAACCAACCAACCAACCAACCAATGGCTCAATCAATCAATCAATCAATCAATCAANCCACCTTTCCACCAGGAGATTCCTCCAAGAGGAAAGGAACCAAATCCATGGGTTGGGACATGGAATCATGGAATGGTTTGGATCCAAAGCTACTTTAGAAGAAACATCTGGAGGTGGGAATGATGGAAACCGTGGAATCATGGGATGGTTTGGGTTGGGAGGAACTTGAGAAGTTCCAGGAGTGGAGGTGACACTGATCCCACAGCAAAGGTGTCAAAGCTCAGTTCCTGCTGGATTCTGGGAAGGAAAATGGTGGGAAAGGCCCGAAAGCACCAGGTGCACCTCCAGGAGATGTTCTGGATGGGTTCCTCATCCAAAGGTGTCAAAGCTCATTTCCTCTTGGATCTCCTGTGGGATTTCTGGGAAGGAGAAGGGTGGGAAAGGCCCCAAACCAGGTGCACCTCCAGGAGATGTTGTGGATGGGTTCCTCATCCTCTCCATGACGAGATTAATCCAAAAGGAAAGGAACCAAATCAACAGGTTGGGACATGGAATCATGGAATGGTTCCAGCTGGAAGTGACCCCAAAGACCATCCAGGGACACCTCCCCCTATCCCATCTCTCTCCAACCCCCATCCCACCAGGCCTGGAGACCCTCCAGGAGCCACCGCGCCGCCGTTCCTCGCTCACCTTTGGTGTCGTTGACCGGGTCCATGTGCCGGTAGATGTAGCCCTCCAGGTAGGAGTGGAACTTGGGCGTGGGCGGGAAGAAGGCCAGGCAGATGGCCATGAGCTCCCAGCCGCGCGCCAGGCTCTCGTAGCGGAAG